CCCAGGGTGCATCCTCGATGTGGTTGTGGTCGCTGGCTGTCCCCGCATATCTGCTTGATGCGAGAACCACCCGCCCAGCAGCGGTCGCTGCCGATCCAGGGTACCATGTGTTACTGGGAGGTGTCCAGCATGGTCCTTCGCTTCGCACTTCCCTTCCAATCTCAGGCGTGCAAGTTGGGGCTACGACGCGCGTTCGGAAAAAGAACACGACCATGGAGCTCATCCCAATAAACACACATGCTGTTTCGAGCTGTATCAACGTGTGAGGGCACGCGGGCCAGAAACGGGACAACACGGGTTCGCCGTGACTCGTTTAGGGCGCCTTGATGTTCGAGGAGGCAAAAGAGGAGGAGGAGGTGGAGGAGGAGAAAGACGAGGAGGAGAATCAGCAGGACAAAGACGGCGACGAGAGCGAGAAGGAGCAGTTATCGAGCTAGCGGGAAGGAGGCTGAGTACAGGAACAGCGCAATTCCGACCAGCAGGGGTTACACGCGGAAACCGTCACATGTGACATGTCGGACGTTGGTCACGTGCGGAAGTTTTACCATGTGACATGTCGGGCGTGGCTCACACACGGAAGCCGTCTCTTGTGACATGTCGTATGTTGGTCTCATGCGGAAGCCGACACATGTGACATGTCGCGCGCGGGTCACACGCGGAAGCAGTCCCATGTGATATGCGGGGCGTGGGTCAGGCGCGGGAGCCATCACATGTGACACGTCGGACGTGGGTCGCACGCGCAAGCCGTCACATGTGACATGTCGGGCGTGGGTCAGGTGCGGGAGCCATCACGTGTTACATGTCGGGCGTGGGTCGCAAGCGGAAGCCGTCACATGTGGAATGTCGGACGTTGGTCACACGCGGAGGCCGTGAATGGGACGGGCCGTGATCCCGACGTCGTCTTCGTCCGCGCGGTAGGGAAGAGCAGGAGGAGGAGGAGGACCAATGCAAACCCAAGATTCACCACTGGCACTGCAATACGCCCTCCAAGTTTTCTCGTCATAGGTGCCTACACGGATGCATTATCATTGAGGCAATTGCCCCGTTGGAAGGCAACCGTTTCAAAACCAGGTTCTTGCTCCAACGCCGCGGGTCACCGTTATGCTTGCGTCTTGACGGTCCTGATTCGTTCCAGAGCACCATTCTTGTGACTTCAACACCGCGAATCAACGTGATTGGTGCGCCCTGATCTTCCGACATCGTGCCCAAAAACACATATCTGGGATTTTAGCCATGATAATCCTTGACAGTGTTGCAAACTCGTGAAACGAACGTGCGCGGCGTTACGGCGAGATCCACATTTTGAAAGCGGACCGCCCTCCACCCGTGACACCGTTACAGATGATTACGGCGAGTGTGCACGGCGCTAAGGCGAGAGCCACATTTTGACAAGGAACCGCTTCCCATCCGTGAAGCTTATGCAAACATGTAGCAGTCATGTGCGCAGCGCTGAGGCGAGAAACCACATTTTGCAAGGAACCGCCCTCCATCCGTGACACTCTTACGAACGTGCGCGGCGCGAAGGCGAGAGCCACATTGTGAAAACGGACCGCCCTCCATCCGTGAAGTTGCTGCAAGTTGTTTAAGCCAGTGTGCGCGGCGCTAAGGCGAGAGCCACATTATGGAAGCGGGCCGCCCTCCACCCGTACAACTTTTGGGCATGTCAAGTTCCAGGGTCATAAGTTGTTAGGAAGTCTCAGGCGAATCGCCCAACCCGCCCTTTCGACCAGCCTCGTGGTGCGACAGGGAGGACTTATGTATAATAACAAGGAATGGAGGAGGAGGAGGAGGAGGAGGAGGAGGAGGAGGAGGAGGAGGGGGAGGAGGGGGAGGAGAAGGAAGAGGAGGAGGAGGAGGAGGTGGAGGAGGAGGAGGAGGCTTCTTGGGGCCTCCTGGGCGCTTCCTGAAAGCTTGTGAGGGCCGCAAAGGTGCCTCACGGGGCCTCTTTGGGGCCGCTTGGGTCCTCTTCGGCCGTTCTTTGGGGACTCTTGGCCCGTCTGACGCCTATGGAGGCCGCCTTGGGGGCCTCTCTAGGCCGTGTTGGTATCCTCTCGGAGCGGTCCACGGCCGTCTTGGGGCCTTCACGGGGCCCCTTGGGCGATCTTTGGACCCTTAGGGCCAACTTTGGGCCCTGTTGGGGGTCTCCTGGCCTGTCTGAGAGCTATCTTGAAGGCTCTTGGAGGCTTCTTGGGACGTCTTGGGCGGTCGGAAACCCGAGCAGGCGAGAACTTGAACATCTTCCGAAAACCTTAGGACGATCAATGGTGTTGGCCTCCTCGGGCTCTCCAGGAGGGCCTCTTGGATCCCCCTTCGGCCGCCCTGGGGGCTTCTTGATCTGTTTTTGAGGCTGCTTTGGGAGCCTTTTGAACCGTCTTGGGCCATCTTGGACCATCTTGGTGTCTTTTTGGTTGCCCTGCAAGCCGTCCTAGCGGCCATGAGTCTCCCAAGAAGGCCTCAAGACCGATCAAGAGGCCCCCCAACCGGCCCAAGAGGTCTCCAAGAGGCTTTCCAGGAGAGCCTTCGGAGGCACAAACCATTGATTTTCTGCAGTGTGTTGAAGGATTTTACGGTTCTGTCATGTTTGGGTTTCTGACCACCTTAGACAGCCCAAGAGGCCTCTTTGGGTAGTCTTTTACCTAACAGCGAAGACTGATAGGTTTCTAATGGGCTAAAAAAAGCTCACAGATCACTCCACAGGGGGGTCCGGGCAGGTGTTGGGAGTTGCCGGGCGGGTTGAGTCCACCTCGTTTTTCACCAACAGTCACACACTTCGTGCTCTTCGAGTTCCCAGAACTCCATTCCCAGGCTCATTCTGAATAACCGGATGCAACAGTCACACACTTCGTGCTCTTCGAGTTCCCAGAACGCCATTCCCGGGCCACATTTTGGAATGCCCGGAGCAACTGTAGGCCACTTCGTGCTCTTCGAGTTCCCAGAACTCCATTCCCGGGCCACATTTTGGATGCCCGGAGCCAACTGTAGGCCACTTCGTGCTCTTCGAGTTCCCAGAACTCCATTCCCGGGCCACATTTTGAATGCCCGGAGCCAACTGTAGGCCACTTCGTGCTCTTCGAGTTCCCAGAACTCCATTCCCGGGCCACATTTTGAATGCCCGGAGCCAACTGTAGGCCACTTCGTGCTCTTCGAGTTCCCAGAACTCCATTCCCGGGCCACATTTTGAATGCCCGTAGCCAACTGTAGGCAACTTCGTGCTCTTCGACTTCCCAGAACTCCCATTCCTGGGCCACATTTTCAGCAGGGGCAAGAGCACGACGAGGAGGAGGACGAGCAAGACCAGGAGGACGAGGACGAGCAGGAGCAGGACGAGGAGCAGGAGGAGCAGGAGAAGAAGGACGAGCAGGAGGAGGAGGAGGACGAGCAGGAGGAGGAGGACGACCAGGAGGAGGAGGACGACCAGGAGAGGAGGAGGAGGAGGAGGAGGGGAGGGGGAGGAGTACCAGGAGGAGGAGGAGGAGGAGGAGGAGGAGGAGGAGGAGGAGGAAGAGGAGGAGGAGGAGGAGGAGGACGAGGACGAGGAGGAGGAGGAGGAGGGGGGGGGAGAGTACCAGGAGGAGGAGAACGAGGACCACCAGGAGGAGGAGGAGGAGGAGGAGGAGGAGGAGGAGGAGGAGGAGGAGAGAACACCAGGAGGAGGAGGACGAGCAAGACGAGGAGGACGAGAACGAGGACGACCAGGAAGAGGAGGAGGAGGAGGAGGAGGAGGAGGAGGAGGAGGAGGAGGAGGAGGAGGAGGAGGAGGAAGAGGAGGAGGAGGACGAGGAGGAGGAGGAGGAGGACGAGGAGGAGGAGGGGGGGGGAGAGCACCAGGAGGAGGAGAACGAGGACCACCGAGGAGGAGGAGGAGGAGGAGGAGGAGGAGGAGGAGGAGGAGGAGGAGGAGGAGAGAGCACCAGGAGGAGGAGGACGAGCAAGACGAGGAGGACGAGAACGAGGACGAGCAGGAGGAAGAGGAGGAGGAGGAGGAGGAGCAGGAGAAAGAGCAGGAGGAGGAGGAGGAGGCAGGCTGAGGCTGAGGCTGTGACTGCGACTGCCGTTGACGCTGCGACTGTCATCGCGAATGCTACTACGACTGCGAGAACAGCAGAATTCGACAACTGGATTTTCGTCTGAATCTTAAGGGGAATGCTTTCAGATATGCTTCTACACATCGCTGTTAGGTTGCTTTGCCGGGATATTTGTTTTCTTGGAGCGCTTAAAGTCCGTCTTGGGGCCCTAATGTGAACCCCTTGGGCAATATTGCGAAGGCCTTACGGCCGGTGCCGCCGACCCCGAATGGCGACGACGACGACGACGACGACGACGACGACGACGACGACGACGATGACGAGCGCTCTTGGGGGTCTCTTGGGGGTAGTTTGTGGGCCTCTTGGGAAGCTCTTAGGGGCCGCTTGGAAGCCTCGTGGGGGCCTCTTGGGGCTTCCTGGGGGTCTCTTGGAGGGGGCCTGGGACGTCTTGGAGGCTTCTTGGACGGTCTTGGGGCTATCTTGGGCGTTTTCGGCCGATCTTTGGGCGACTCGGGGCCCTCTTGGGCCGTCTCGGGGGCCATCTTGGGCATTCGGACCTCATTTGGAGTGTTTTCGAGGTTTCTAGGCCGCCCGAGGAACAACGAATCTGCCCCCCCCCCTCCCCACCCCCCCCCCGGGACCCCCCCCGGCTTTCTTGGAGCGCTTAAAGTCCGTCTTGGGGCCCTAATGTGAACCCCTTGGGCAGTCTTTGGGTCCTCTTGGCCCCACATGCGGCCCTCTTGAGGTCCTGTTGGGTTATATTGGAGCTATCTTGAAGGCCTCTACGGCCTTCTGGGGAGGGGCCCGCTTCAAGTGCCCGGAGACCAGGACACAGACCAACCAGGACATTGGCAGGTCGGGGAAACGATACCGTTTCCTGCCGCCGTCTGGAAACAAATGTCTCGAGGGATCTTGGATGTCCTGGTCAAGCGTGTCCTGGTCTACGGGGCCCTGACCGCTCCTGCGCGCCCGCAGGCCGAAGGACCTCATGGGCGAGGGCGGCTTCAGCACGGCCTGCCGAGGGGCAGCGGCGGGGGGCGATAGGCTCAGGGGGGGGATGCAACGGCCCTCCATCGCCCACTGATCGCCGATGGGGGCCCGATGGCCCACCCCCTCCCAGGAGCGTGCGGAGTCGCCATCGGGGGCCCGTCGCCCATCTATCGGCGATGTACCGCCGATTCCGGGTCGATGTACTTCCCCCCCATGAGCTCCCCCCCCCCCCCGACCTCTGCCCCTCAGGTCTGCCGAGGGGTCGACCTGCTGACTGGCCAGCCCCGGGCGAAGCAACGAGCGCGCGCGGCGGCCCCCCTCTCCACACGCGGCCGCCCCGGGCCGGGACCGCCGGCGATCTCGACTCTGCTCCATCCCGCCGTTTGTGCCTCGGTCTCGGCCCGTGGGGCCCGCTGTCGGGCCCCAGGTCCAGCAGGGGTGGAGCCTGGGCGAGAAGCCGCCCCCTGGGGGAGGGGGCCGTGCAAGGTCTTCGGACGGGGCCAGGACGAGGAGAAGTCCGTTCCAGAGTCTTCCGGAACGCTCGTGGGGCGTTCCGTCGGGCTTTGAGAAGGACGCGGCGCCCGATACACCCTCCAGAGCCGCGGGATCCCAGAGATCCCCGGTTTATTCGACATCCCCCGGACTTGTGCATTTTTTCTCGGCGAGGACCATCGAGGAGCATCTTGGATCATCTCGCAAACATTGGCACGACACCGAAAAAATGCACGCGGAATGGACGTTCGAGCGATGGCGAGTTTATCCTCACCCGATTCTGCCATCGCCCTGGCTTCGTCTTCGGCCTAGGGGCCGCGGCTGGGAGGCACGCGCCGGAGGATGCCCCAGGGGGGCGCGCGCGGCGGGACCCCTTCCCCGCACGGCCGCCCCAGGCTCTGCGTCGCCGTGGGGTCGGGGTGTCCTCGGCGCCACCCCGGCACGGCAGTGCTGTGCGAGGCGTTCCGAGCAAGGCCAATCCTTCGAGGATCGAAAGGGTTGCCATCGCTTCCTCAGCGGAAGGCGGCGGAAGTAAAACGAGGCCGCCTCCGCCGGCGGAAGTGGGCGGAAGGTCGGCGGAAGCCAGCGGAAGGCTGGCAGAAGGTGGCGGAAGTAAAAGATGCGGCACACAGAGATGAACACGTTTTTGGGTTCAGGGTTTCCGGAATCCGCCATGTGTGCGTTGCCCCCCCCCCCCCCCCAGATGCTCGGTGGCGAGCGCTTTCTGGCCACACCGCTCGGGAAACGAAATGCTAAAATGTATTACAATATGGTTATATTATACATGTTCGTGTCGGACGCACGACTCCGAGGAGGACAGAGAACGAGTATGTCCTTCTGCGTTCCAGGCCCTGGTCGGGGAAAGATTTATGGCCACCGCCCCCGTCCCCTGCGCGCGCTCGGTGCCGGCCAGCCTGTTTGTCTCGGGGTGGGTGGTGTACAAACGTCGTGCCCTCAAGGGACGCCACTTTTGTGCAACGCCCCCGCTCCGCGGTCCTGTGCCGCACCAGCTCGTCCGTGGGGGTGGCGTGCAAACGTCGTGCTTCCACCCGAGGCAAGCGGGCCCAGAGGCCCCGTGCCCCCCGAGCCACGCGACCCCCTGGGGCCGGTCCACGAACGACCGGGGATGAAACGCTGGACGAACGGGTTGGGATTCCACGCCGCGAAAGAAGGCAGCACCACGGGACATCTCGACCGGAGTCCCCATCCCATCTTCCTGCGGCGTCTCTCGGGCCGGTCCGATCCGTGAAGGTCCCGGGGCTGGAGACGGGGCGGAGCCGCCCTGCGTAGAGCAAGTGCGGCGACAGGATCAGGGAACGCTCCGGGATTCCAGGAGGGGAGGCCCGCTTCCTTCATGCAAAATCTGGTCGCACAGCACGTCGGGAGCGAGAAGGAGTATCAGTGGCACGCTGCCGATGGTAGCCCGTCAGCGTGCTGCTCCTTTGTTCCCAGCCATCCTGCGGTGCAGGGTTCTCGTTTTGAAGCGAGCGTCCCGCATCTCACCTCCTCCCGTCTACCTTCTCCTCCTCCCTCCCATCACTGCCTCTGCCCTCCGCATGCCAACCACTTCGGCACATCAGTACAGCGTTTCGTGGCCCCATAGGGGAGCTCCACCGATGGCCCTGGTGGCCGCGGCCACATGCGTCTGCGCCGCCCAGTACAGCGTTTCGTGGCCTCATAGGAAGCTCCACCCAAGACCCCAGTAGCCGCGGCCGCATGCGCCCGCGCCATCCAGCACAGCGCTTCGTCCCCATAGGGAGCCCCGTAGGGAGCTCCACCGAAGCCCCCGGTGGCCGCGGCCGCATGCGCCCGCGCCACCGAGTACAGCGCTTCGTCCCCATAGGGAGCTCTACCGAAGACCCCAACGACTGCAGCCGCATGCGTCCGCGCCATCCAGTACAGCGTTTCGCGGCCTCAGGGGAGCTCATGGGAGCTCCACCGAAGGCCCCAGTGGCCGCGGCCGCATGCGTCGCCCCACCCATTGCAGCGCTTTGTGGCCCCAGGGGAAGCTCCACCAATGGCCCTCGTGGCCGCCGCCGCACGCGTCCGTGCCACCCAGTACATTGCTTCGCGGCCCCGTAGGGGAGCTCCTCCGAAGCCCCCAGTGGCCGCGGCCGCACGCGTCCGTGCCACCCAGTGCAGCGTTTCGTGGCCCCGTGGGGAGCTTTGGCCGCGGCCGCATGCGTCCGTGCACCGCAGTACAGCGTTCTGCGGCCCAATAGGGGAGCTCCACCGATGGTCCTGGCGGCCGCGGCCGCACGCGTCCGCTCCACCCAGAACAGCGCTTCGCGGCCCCATAGGGGAGCTCAACCGAGGCCCCAGTGGCCGTGGCCGCATGCGTCCGCGACGTCCAGCACAGCGCTTCGCGGCCCCATAGAAGAGCTCCACCGAGAATCTCAGTGGCCGCGGCCGCATGCGTCCGCGCCAACCAGTTCAGCGCTTCGCGGCCCCGTTGGGGAGCTCCACCCGGTGGCCGCGGCCGCATGCATCTTCCCCGCGCAGTACAGGACACCGTCACACGCTTCGTGGCCCGATTGGGAACTGCACCGAAAGCGGTACCAACAACGCGGCACTCACAACTGCGTATGGTTGGGTCTTTCACCCAGGTAATTGTTGGCCGAAGGCCTGGTGCTCCCACGGCGGCGTGTCATTGTTTCCTTAAGATTGCTTCGTTTGAGGATTTTGATACACATTAAACACAAGACGTCCCACAATGGGAACGCGGAGCCCGGAAACGGCTGGTCTGGCAGCCGTTCCGCTTGGGACTTCCTCTCACTTGATTCAGGATTCGTGCTCTCGTCTTAATGCCGGCTACGTTGGCAAAACGCACCAAGGTGCACATGGCCGTGCTATCTCCCCTATCCCCTATAACCGACCTCCGACTCCTCGACCCGCCTCTTCACCTGTGCCTGTATCAGGGTGTTTCGCTGAGGTGGCTTTGCTCCCCATGCGAGTCGGCCTGGAAGCCGACGGGCCGAGGTGCGAGTCTGACCTCCCAGGGCGCGCGGCAGGCTCGCGCGCCAGCCTCGGCGTGCCCAGCGGCGCTGGCGCGGTAATTCGGGCCGATCATCCTAAGAAAAGTGTTCTTTTGCCGAAGCGCGTGTAACGGCAGGTTCGCGTCGTGTCGACTGGCGGCGACCCCGCCGTCGGCGTTCAACGTTGAATGCCGCCGGCGACCCAGAATGGGTCGATGTTGAACGACCTGACGTTTCGGAAACGGCCGATCGTTCGAGGTTGAACGATCCCCCTGGCGTCAGGAACCAACGCCGCGGTCGACACGACGCGAGCCCGCGGTATTTTGGTCGGCTCCGCCGATGGCACGCAGCCTATGTCGGCCCTCGTTGCGCGCCGCTTGCGTCGTATTGCAGGGCCTCGTTCGGCACATCGTCAGGGCGTTTATTTCGCAAACGGCTGCGTATCCCTGGGTTTCATGGCCCCTTTTCCTCAACATGTCCCCTGACCCCCCTCGTCCGTGCCTCTTGCGTGGGGCCATGAGCTGCGGACCCCCCCTCTCTGACGCCCCCGAGGAGGGGGGCGCTGGGGAGCGGCTGGCAGGTGCCGGTCAGGGAGTCACGGTTACGGTGGCCTCGTTTCGGGAGGGCAAAGAAAGGCACACAGGCACACCTGAACGCAGATGCCGAGGAAGATGTGGAAACTACGGGAGGTGGAGGGGAAGACGAGCATTCGGAGCATGCGGAACATATGGGGGGATCCTGGGATCTGCGCCCGTCTGTTCTGCGTGTCCCTGGGCCCCATGTACGTTGGCGCCAGAACACGCGTCCTGGGGATCATCGATCGGGGCTGGGTGACTGCCTTCTGCGCTCCTCGCCGATCGGGGCCCAGGTGCCCCACTCCGCCCAGGAGGGTGCCCTTTCGCTATCGAGGGCCTAGCCTTAAGTCAGGCATTTCCCTCTACAGGAGGAGTATCCAAGAATAGTAACAAATACTCTGATGACGCTTCTCAATGCTCTTTTGTCTATTCTTGGTTATTGTTGAGTTATTTTTTCTTTAAAAGCCCGCCTGTAGGAGGACATGCGCGACCTAAGCCTAGCTCCGATCTGTCCGCGATGTATTACCGATTCCAAGCCCGCGTTCCCTCCCTGAGCTGGCTCCTCCTTGTCATTACCCCTCCTGGTTTCTTGGGCCCCAGGGCCCCAGCTGCCCATAGAGGCAGCCCACGGCGCGAGAATCCGTGCGAGAGAGGAAGTCAGCAGCCTCGATAGGGGAAATCCGAGCGCGGAGAAGATCGGCTAGGACTGAACGGCTCGTGAGGAGCCTGAGACGTCGTCGCAGAAGGAGCCTGACGTGCAGGCTGTTCGCCTCTGAGTAGATATCTGTTGTTCCAGGGGCCTGCTCGGAGGCTGGAGGATTCTAGTACTGTTCGTCTCCTCCCGCACACTTGCAACTAAGATCCATCTTTGTCGAGAGGATTGGCGAATACCATAGTGTGCGTCGGACGCTCGGTAGTCGCAGAGGGTGTCATGGGGGGCTTTCCTCCTCCGGCCTCATTCAAGTGGCCATGTGTTGCTGCGCATTCACGGTCCTTACGGAGGGACATATTAACGAAAACAGCCCCATCTTCTCGCTGCTGATCTGCTGCACAGTTTGCACAGTTTGCAAGAGTCATCAGACGAAGACACCGTCGGCGAGTCACCGCCGTCCCCTGTGGCCGAGGAGCTCCCCGTGTATCCCCTTTGGGCGGGTCTCGGGGTCTCTTCTCCCTTCTTTGTGACATCTGCCTTGTGCCGTCTTGGTGTTCTCTCGGGAACCTCTTGGGCCGTCTGGGGGGTCTTTGGGGGAGTTTCCGGTCAGCCTGTGTTGTGGGAGACATGTTATCAAATAGCTTACAGGTGTCTAAAATATGTTTTAAGCATGTTCAAGCACATATGGAACGTGTTCCAAACATTACTAAAGCATGTAGCACGGTTCGAGTATCCATTGTCATGGCATCCTCAAACATGCGGGCATTCTTGGACTTTCTGGGGGCTCTCTTGAGCTGTCTTTGGGGCGATGATGGTGATGCTGCTGTTGCTGATTATGATGCTGATGATGGTGAAGCTGAGGATGATGATGGTGCTGCTGCTGATGATGATGAGGATGATGATAACATGATGAGGATGATGTGTTCCCGAACGGGAACCCTCGTGAACTGTATGGACACAGCTTATCAACACATCAACTCCCGAGAAAGGCGCGCCCTCAAAGCCTCGAGCAGATGTTCTTCAAACATCACTGGCCAATGCGTGATTGACGAAACGAGGAAACAGGATGGATGGAGGGAGGATGGACGGAGCACAGAGTAGACGAGGCCGGAGGGAGTCATAGAGAGACGAAGAAGGAGGAATGATGATGGAGAAGAGGTGGACCACGAGGAGGAGAAAGAGGAGGAGGAGGAGGTTTATGATGATAAGGAGGAGTCAGAGGAAGCGCGTGAGGATTATGCGGATGATTCGGATGAACAGGAGGATGTAGATGATGATGATGATGATGATGATGATGATGATGATGATGAGGAGGAGGAGGAGGATGATGATGATGATGATGATGATGATGATGATGATGATGATGATGAGGATGGTGATGATAATGATGATGCTGGTGGTGGTGATGATGCTGCTGCTGATGATGATGATGATGAGGGTGGTTAGGATGAGGAGGCGAACCACCACGGGTGCCTTCGCGCAATAACCTCGCGCCGTCAAACCTTTGCATTCACCACGTCGTAGTTATCATCCTAGACGCCCTCTTTCTCCTCCCATGGCAATTAATCATTCAACGTACTAGTCTTCATCATTCGCGCCTCCCTGCTCTTGCTCCTGCTCCTGTCGCTCCAGCTCCTGCTCCTGCTCCTGCTCTCTTTCAGCTCTCTCTCGCTCTCTCTTTCTCTCGCTTTCTCTCTCTCTCTGTCCTGCTCTTCATCGTGACCTTCACTTCCCTCCTCCTGCTCCTCATCCGTGGTTTTCCCAAGATGGCTCTTGCCTTCGTGCCGCGCGCATTGTTTTACGGGGTGCAGCAGCTTCTCGAATGTAGGGGAGTGTATTCCAAACTGAAGCTCTGGCTTCAGCGTCGCGCGCGTTCTTCGTAAACTTTTGCAGCAGTTGTTGGATGGAGCAGAGGTGGTCTTCAACTTGTGGCTCTCGTCTTATCACCGCGCACATTCACCTGACAAGCTTGCAACAGTTTCAAGGATTGAGGGCGGGTCCTTTTCAACATGTGGCTCTCGCCTCAGCGCCGCGCACATGCGTCTTCAAACAGTGAAACATCTTCCGGGCTGGAAGGGGGGGAGGGCATTTGCAAAATTTGGTTCTCGCTTAATTCGGCACCGATCAGATTCATGGATGGAAAGGGAGCGGTTTCAAAACCTGACTCTCGCTTTTGCGCCGTGCGTCTTGTTTCCAAACGGTGCAGCAGTTTCGGGGATGAAACGGGGGTGGGGTGAGGGCGTTTTCCAAATGAGGCTCTCGCCTTAAGGCCGCGCGCATTCGTTTTAACAAGGCTTGAGGGCGAGTCCTTTTGAATGTGAAGCTCTCGCCTAGGCGCCGGACAAGTTCATCTCAACATCTTCCAACCGTTTCGAGAATTGAACACAGGTTCGTTTCAAGCTGGGTTGATCGCCTCAGCGCTGCGCGCATTCAATCGTAAATACTCAACGATTAGAACGTTCAGAAGGCTAGATGGCTGTTGTTTTCTCGCTTGAGACTTCGCTGAGTTGAAAGACACTAAATGTCAACACATGTAGCGCTGCACGGGTCCATGGCGGCTCGATCTCGAAATGGAGTTGTCGCTTGAGAGTTCCTGGAAGTCCATGACCACCGGTTGCGCTGATTTGGGGCGGTCCATTTCCGGAAGGGGGATTTCGCTGGACACCTCGTTGAATTGTATGATCATAGTTGTTCGCGTTCCCGAGCACGCGCCAGAAAGATGCGAGGGAACTCATTTTCAAAGCGGGGCCCTCGCCAAAATTGCAGGCCCAACTGTGGTGAACAAAAGCTTGTAGGAACGCATTAGGAAGGCACCTGGGACGGGAGGGTGTACTGCAGCATTGTTGATGCTCTCCCTCGTCCTCCTCCTGCTCCCGCTTAACACCTCGCCCCAACCTCAGCCAATTCTTGACGCTTCGCGTAACGCCAACAGCTTATCTCCCTGGACGCGCTGCCCAGGCGTCGGTACGCACGGGAGTCGGCTTGTGCTGGCCAGCCGTCTTGCCTGCCTAAGTTCGGTTCGCGCCAGTCGCCTGCTCTGGTTGGCCGAACACGGACTGCGCCCCTCTTATTCGGGGCTTGGGTGTGCGACTTTACTGGCGCCACCCCCCGCACCCGACAGACCTTGGCTGGCATCTTGGGCCTTCCTTGAGGTGCATTACCCTGGTCGCACCGCGGTGTTTCCGCGCGCCATTTTGGCTGCGCCTCAGCTTTGGCTGGCCAACTCACGCACACAATTTGCCTCGTGGAGGATTCGTCCCACCTGGCTCTGGCCACCCTGGTACTTTGCAGTCCTTAGGGTGCCCTCCCTTTGCATCCAATTCAGCTGTTTGCGGACCCTGGCAGTCGGCCCCCCTGGCAGTCAGCCTCTCTGCATGTCGTTGCATGCGTGCAACCCCTGGCAGTGCAGCTTCCCTGGCAGCCGCCGCCAGCCCCCCTCCACTCGCCGGCCTGGCCGCCGAGGTGCCGCGTGAGGCTCCGTCCCACCGCTTTTAATTCGTCTTTGCGCGGCCCGCTCTGACTCGACTCGCCGCTGGCGCGCTCGCCTGCGGTCGCTGACAAATGTGACGCCAACAGCGTTCTCGCAGGAGTGGTTCAACCTTCTTGTCCAGCCTGGCAGTCTCCTGGCGGTTCTTTCCTCGTGCCTCTGGCGCCCAGTGGCGACAAGGCTTAATTCCTGTACCTGGTGATCTCGTTCCCATGGCACTCGCACGTTGCATCTCCCCGGGCCCCAGCCGCCTCCGCAGCTGGCAGCTTCCACCCCCCGGCGCAGCCCTGCCTCGGCGCAGCTCCCCCCCGGCGGTTGGTTTGGTAGCTAGCTCGGCGCGCGCGCCGGCAATTAGGGCGCCCGCGCCTCGTGCGACTCTACCGATGCTGCTGGCGCGCTCGCCGCAGCAGCGACAAAAAAAGTAACGCCAACAGCCCTTTAGCTTGTGGCACGGCCTGCCCCTGCTTGCACGGCGTTCGACTCGTTTCGCGCGCCCGCGTGCCCAAAGTATCGCGAACAGCCAATCCAGAGACGATGATCAGAGGATTCGCCTCGATCAGGAATGGCGCCCCGTCCAGGTCCAGGGTAGGGGGTAGGAGGAGGGGTAAACCCTCCCCGAATGGGAAGAAGGGGAATGGAAGAGGAACCTCCCTAGACCACCTAAACCCAGAGGGCTGGTGGGATTCACTTCCGAGCCCGTGCTGTATGCGTAGCCGTTCTGGGTCAAGACGTTTCACTCGGGCACCACCCTCGAACGCGCACGCGGGCTGCGGCCGCGACGCAATCTGCCAGTGTCCAGCACGCACTGGAAGCAGCGATGGCCACCGACCTCCTGAGGAAATGGTGGGCAGACCATATCCGCATCCGCGACCTCGCGGCCCGTGTCCCCAAGTCGCGATCCCATGAGTACGCTGCGTTTTTTCCTCGGGATGCCCCGCGCGGAACGTATCCGTGCGACCACGTAACGACGGGATCGCACCCAGAGATCCAGACAGCGAGGGAGTGGATATAGATACGTTCGGCGCCCGAGAGGGGAGCCGCGTCGACTGGCGATTGGGCCAGGGCCGCGGATTGGGCGCTGCGGCGCGCCCTGGCCACCGTGGAGGCCGTCCCAGTGGAGCAGGAGTGGCAGGAGTTGCGGGGACACTTGCAGGAGGCCCTGGAGGAGGCGGCGGACCCGCGCTCCAGGTCTGCGGCCTCGATCGAACCCACTAAAGTTTCGGGCTGCGCACAGACAGCCCTCCAGGTAGTCCCGGCTGGGCTCAACGGGCCCCTCCAGGTAGTCCCAGCTGGTCTCAGCAGGCCCCCCGAGTAGTCCGAGGCGTTCCCAGGCAACGCCCCTGGGGCGCTCTGCGCCCCAGGATAGAGGTGCAGAGACCGCCCCAGACTACTCGAGGGCCCAGTCGAGGCCAGCTGGAACTTCTCGGGGGGCATGTTGAGGCCAGCAGGAATCACCCTGGGGCTGCCTGCGCGAAACCCACATGCTTACCACCAAATAGAACCCTATTTTTACGTGTCCAACCGACGCCTGGATATCGGACACCCCTGCTGGGGTTCATCTGACAGCAGGCACCCTTCATGTTCTGCACCCCCTCCCGCGTTTCAGAGATCTGACTTACAGGGGCAGGGTTCGCATTTGGTTCCCTACCAGGGCCGCCAGGGTGGCAGCAGCGTATGACCTCCTGGTCGACCACCGGCGCCTTCCCGAGGATCGCGCCGAGCACCTCGAGGCGGGCAAGGACGTGCGCGACGCGTTGATCCTGTGCTGCGTGCAGAGCATCGGGACCCACTCCGACTACACTCTCTTCGACTCGGCATGCAGCGCGGCATTCGGGCGACAGGTGCCGCGTACTCCGCAGCTTGGCCCCCAAGGCTCGCTGTACGCACAGCTTCATCACAGCTACCAGCAGCTGTTCAAGCACGTCGATGGCAGGTTCATCAGCAGCTCGAAGTGGCAGGGCCGCAGGCGGGTGCGCCGCAGCGGCGCTCCCCCCGCGAACTGGGAGCCGGCGCCGGAGGCGGAGCTGGACGAGTCGGCCGGGGAGTCGTCGGAGTCGGCGCCAGCGGAGCCACCCGCGCAGTGGTCGGCAGGGGGCGCGTCCCCCGCGACACTGGGCGCGGCGCTGCCCTGCTGCGGGGCTGCCAGGCCCGCGCGCGTGCCAGTGGACCTGCAGGTGCCAAAGGAGTGGCGTCAGGGGGTGGACGACCTCCTCGAGGCCGTCGCGGATCGCGGCATGAAGGCCGAGGTCGTCCACGGTTCCGTCGAGCGCCTGGGGTGCCGCCTCAAGGAGATTGACCGTTCCTGCTACGACAGCACGCCAGGCCAGCGCCTTTGCAGCGACCTGCTCGGGGCGCTGTCCATCTGCCTGTGGCACGTTCCGCGAACCTGCCAGTGCATCACCCTGCGTGCTTGTCTCACCCACGTCCAAGTGGGCCTAACGATGCGGTAGTTGGCTGATCCAGTCGAGAAGGCCTGCAAACATAGGAGGAGAGATGGGGGTAGGCCTGCAAGAGGAAGAGGAGGAACCGCGGGAGGAGGGGGATGAGGAAATTGAGGAGAGGGGCGGAGAGAGAGGGGAGTAAGAGGTTTTTGTGCCATGACTCTGAGGGGCGTCTTGGTGGTGCTTGGGGGCACGTCGTGCTGGTTTGCCGTGCTGTTGTTTCTCGTCTGGAGCTCTCTGTGGGGCGTCTTGGTGAATTATTGGGGCGACTTACTCTTTTGGGCCGTCTCGGGCGTCGGGGCGCTCTCCCCCCTTCCCAGGTTGTTTGGGGAGCCTCTTCGGTCGTTTTGGGTCTCTCTTGAGATCAGCAGCCCTTTTGGTGTCCCTTTGGGTTCATTGTGGGCTGTCTTGGAGCCTTTTGGCCACTTGGCTACGCTGCGGCTGTATTTGGGCCGGTCCCTTTGCTTCCATTACGATCATTCAGCATGCCAGTGCAACTTGGAACCCCGAGAGGAGTCAGCACAATCAGGAACCCCGTTCATCTAACACTGTACATCTCACCTCACGACCATATCTTGTTTGCTCTCACTCTCGCTTCTGCGTGCGTCGCTGGACTTCGATGGCCAGCACGTCTCGTCATAGCCGGGAGCCAGGCACGCCGTTCGGCGGGGAGCGTGACGGACGTAATGGAGAGCGGGACGTACGGCAGCGCCTCTTCAGCCCCCTCCACCAGATGGACGGCCTCGACTCCCTCGACTCCCCACCCCACACTCCTCGTCCTGAAGTCCACTCCATCTCCACGCCAGGCATTCCGAGCACCCCAGAGGAAGCCCGACGTGCGCAGACGGCCACGCTCGAGCAGATCGCGGCCATCATGAAGCAGGAGGTCCAGCCCCTACGGAATGCAATTTCTGGGGTACAGCGCAGCGTGGCAGATCTTCGGAAAACCTTCGAGGCGAGAATGGGTGCAACCGAGGAGCGACTCGAAGACATCGACATTCGTTTGACGAACCTGGACAGCACGATTCCGATGACCCCCGAAGGCTCGTGTACAGGATCCCGCGCGACCGAGGAGATGTGGAGCCACATCAAGGCGCTGGAAGACAAGCTCGGGAAGCTGAAGGTCAACCCCTACAAGGACAGGGACGCGAACGCTGCAGACAAGGACAAGACGAGGGTCATCGGCGGCCTGCAGTCTCTCACGGACCTCGGAGACGTCAACCGCTGGGTCAAGAACAAGCTCTGGGAATGCTATGGTCCACAACCAGAGGATGTTTACGTCAAGGGCGAGTTCAATGGGATTGCGTTCGTCAAGTTCGCCTCGAATGGGGACCGGGAGGATGCTGTCAAGATGTTCCGTAGGGCTGCTTTCAAAGAAGGGGTTATTCTAGTATGGGCGAAGCCTGACAAAGACCTTCCCCTACGTGTGCTTTCCTCACTGTTGTTTGGAACGAAGCACCTCCTCAAACAATGGGGGTATGAGTCGAAGGCCGTCTGGGCAGACCCAGAAGAAGGTAAGGTGTGGGTCGGCTCCGACATCGCTGTGCATGCCGTCATCGAGAACGGGGAGCTCAAGATGAACTACGGCACTGGCTGGAAGGAGTGCCTGACAGATCCGGGGTGCCCCGACGTCTCAAACCTGATCGACAAGCTGTCGGGTAAGCTCGCGAGCCACCCGTCCAAGGGCATGGGGAAGGCAGGGGCGAACGGAGCAGTCACGATGGGGAAGGGCAAGAGCGACACGAAGGCGGCAACCAGATGCCGCAACCGACTCGTGGCGGTAACGGCCGCGGCGAGTAGGAAATACGACGGCACATTGGAGTTTCACCTTACACTGTTACACGCCATGGTGATGATGGTGGTCCTTTCCATACGCATCATGTTCATTGCACGCCATGGTGATGATGGTGGTCCATTCGCATACCACAGCGAGGTAAACCAGGTCATTATCGACACCCACAGCCTCGACGACCAAGCAAAGTTTGCCGCGTGGCGTCTTGGAACGTTGAGGGGCTAGGCATTGACACTGATGCCACGAAGTTGGAGCATATCTGCACGATTATGAAAAATATGGACAGTTGTATTCTATGCATGCAGGCAACACATATATAGCAGGAACGCCGTATTTTACACACGATGGGAGCATTGTCGTGTTAGCTGGAGGTCCTTCAGGCGAGAGGGAATACGCAGGGGTTGGACTGGTGATTGCGCCATGGCTCCGGTATTCAGTGATATCCTTCGCACAGATCAACAACCGCATTGCGACGTTGAAGCTGCGGATTCCTGGGGGCACGATGTATCTCATCTCGGCATACGTGCCGCAATCAGCTATAGACTTCGAGATCCGAGACACTTTTTTCACTGTGTTGCACGAGACCGTCAGCAAGTGTAAATCGCACGGGCCTGTTATTATTTTTGGTGACATGAATGCTCGGTTCAACCCGCATTTTTGCGAGCAGGTCGACGTGGTTGGCCCTTTCGCTTTCGGCGACCCGCAGAGCTCGCGCGACGCCTCCAGCAGCCAGCATCTGTTAGCAGACCGATGCGTGGCACTCGGAATGGTCGTTGCCAACGCGTTCTTGGACAGGCCCGTCGCTGAAAGGATCACGTACTACGACCTGGGCACGGATCCGATGAGCGACCCGACCCCGAAGAAATTCGCGGAAATCGACCGCTTCATCATGCGCCAGGAGTGGCAGCATGTCGTTCGACGTGTCTCGTCAGACAGATCGATCCCACTTGCGTCTCATCATCTTCTGGTCTTTGCAAATTTGGACATGGAGGTCCAGAAGGTTCGGCAGAAAAGCCGGGGGCAGACTCGCGACCCAAGGTCTTTGCAAAGAGCAGGGTTGCCAGAAGACATTTATCGCGGCAAGTTCGTCCATGGCGCCGCCTGCAGACTTGAACCAGCATGCTGGGCACGTTGCTAGCTGCATGGAGCAAGCCGCCAAAGCCTCTCTCGATGCGAGACGGGTGGAGGCGAAGAGGCCGTGGATCCGGCGAGGCACCTTGGATCTCATCGAGCTTCGAGGCCAGGCCAGGGCTGAGCGCCAACACGAGCTCCAGAAGGAGCTGTCGAGGCAAATCCGGCACTCGGCGCGACGAGACAGGGCGGCTCGGCTGGGCGATGTCGCTGCGAGCGGGAGTTGGGAAGGCCTCGAACAGTTGAAGAGGAGAGGGCGCAGATTCCAAGGCAGGATGCGACATCGAGACGGAGACCTGGTGGAAAGCGACCAAAGAGCCGAGACATTGGCCATCTTCTTCTCCGCGGTTCAGTGGTCGGAGCCCCCCATTGGTCGCCATTTACCGCGCGGGCAAAGGCCAGACAGCCTACTGCAGCTGCCACTCGGCGACTTCTCTGGGACAGAGCTGGACCGGGTACTGCGCAAGCTGAAGGCGGGCAAGGCGGCCGGGCCCGACGACATCCCACCAGATTTCTGGAAGGTGTTGCACATGGGCGCAGATGCCCGTAACTTCCTGCTGGGCCTCCCGAACAGCTGTCGGCAAGACAAGGCGGTGCCGCAGGAGTGGCGGCGCAGCCGAATCGCCGCCATCTTCAAGAAAGGTGGCGAGTCGATGCCGGAGAATTTCCGGCCTGTCTCGTTGCTTCCTGTCGGATATAAGGCGCTGGCGTCGCTGATTCTCAACGGGTTCGCAGACGGCGGCGTGGAGGACCGACTCAGACCCAGCCAGTTTGGTTTTCGGAGCAAGCGCGGCACCGGGGGCGCCGCGTTCATCCTGCACAGGTTCATCGAGAACACGTGGGCCTCAAAAGACGGGAAGGCGTCTGCAGTGCTCTTGGGCAGGTCAAAAGCATTCGACAAGGTGGACCCCTCTGCCCTACTGATCTCGCTGGCCTGCTTTGGAATCCCAGACCCCTATGTCGACGTGGTCAGCGCAATCTACGACGGGGGAACCTTCGAAGTTAAAGACGCAGACGGCCAAAGCAGAGTGCACGGCCAAGGGTCTGGAATCGCACAGGGGCGCCCTCTCAGTCCGTATCTCTTTATTATCATGCTGAGCGTCTTGATGACTGACGTAGAGAAGGATGTGCTTGAGAAGTTCGGCGACCCCCCCGCGGGGACGCAGCGCGCAGACGCTGCGCATGCAGATGACGCAGCCTTGCTTTCAAACGACCCTCAGCGACTGCAGTATTATTTGGGCCGGCTTGCTATGCGAGCTCATTTGCACGGTTTGGAACCCAACTGGGGGAAGACAGTGCGCCTGCAGATCCGGCGCGCCAGCGACATTTTCGCGCCGCAGGGAAAGCCCGTGAAGGTCGTGAGTTCGGCGGTGCACCCTGGCGGCTTCCTACGGGAAGACGGGGCCGCTGGGGCCTCGATCGCCAGAAGGGTCGGGGGAGCGCGCTGTGCATTCGAGTCGTTGAAGATTGCGTGGAAGCACGCCAACATCACCAGGCAAAAGGAAGCTGTATCTATTCAGCGCTTGTGTAGTGACTAAGGTGACGCACGCTCTGGAGGCATTGTGCTTGCGCCAGGCGGACAGGGACAAGATTGACGCTTTCCAAGCCCAGTGCCCGCGCAAAATATTTGGCGCCCCGCGCGCCATGGTCTCCCGGGCCAGCAACGAGGCGGTGCGGAACATGACGGGCCAACGCAAGATAAGTTTATGTACGTGTTCTTTATAAGCAGTTGCTGTATTTTGGCGTGCTGGCATCGGCACCTGACGCAAATTTACCACGTTCATATGTATTCCAGAGAGGGAGCTCCGCTTTGACAGACCATGGCAGGCGAGGGCGAGGCCGTCCGAGTGGGCGAGAGTCATGCAAGCGCATGCGCAGACGATTCAACAGGCCCACGGACAATCAGTTCTCCATGGCGAAGCATGGCGGAAGGCCGTGTACAAGTACGTATATCATTGACACGAGGGGCGTTGCAGGAGAAATTGCTTCGCAGACGAGCTCTGAGGATCTACCTCTCTTCCCTCCCTCCTCGCTTTTTGCCGCGGATTCCTTCTGCCACTTTTTCTTCCGGGCTGCTTCAGACCGCACCGCTCAAAGCCAAGCGACTGCCGTCTGTCAGCGGCAGTGCGTGCTGCAGCCGCGCAC